TTGGCCTCTCTATTGTCGAGGAAGTTGCAAAGAAAGGAAGTAAAGTTGTTGGGAAGTTCTTGGGTGGTAATTTTGTATTTGAGTCCTAGGTGCCAGACCTTGTCAAATGCTTTAGCTACGTCCCTTAGTACTACGTTACATTGCTCGTTGTTGTGCATCGCGTTTGCTATGTTTTCGTAAATTAGGGCTAAGGCTGTATGGGTTCCTCTATGTTTTCTAAATCCATGCTGTCTGGGGTTGTATTTCTCCTCAAATTCGAGGTGTGTTCTCAGTCGGCGGTTAATTATTTTTTCTAGGATTTTTCCCGGTATTTCTAGGAGAGAGATTGGTCTGTAGTTTGCTACTTGGGTTGGGGATTTGCCTGGTTTTGATATAAGTCTGATGCTTGCTGTTTTAAATTTTCTTGGGAAGTAGCCAGAGGCAAGTGCTGCATTAAAAATGTGACTGAGTTGGTGTATCATGTTGATTGGTAGATGCTGGAGTATGGGTTTGTTAATTTTACTGATGCCCGGGGCCTTATTCTTGAAACTGATTATTGTTTTCTGAATATCCTCTGCGGTGATTGGTTGAATCAGTGTGGAAAGATCGTCCAAAGCGTTTGTGTCTATGCTGGGACTTGGTTGCCAGATGTGGGTTGTGTGTGTCATGTGATTGGTTACTTGTTGCTCGGTATTCATACAGAAGTTCAGGTTGTCTTCTTGGCTTATTTGAAAAATTTTGCTCCAGTATTTTCTGAATTCAGGTTCTTGTTCTTTGGGTTCAGTTAATTTGATTTGGTTGCTATTTAAAATGTAGTTTGACTCGTTGCTTGAGATTCCCATTAGGTTTTTAATTTTTCGCCAGAATTTTTTCGGGTCGTGGTAAGTTGCTTCTGTGTCTGTTATTAATTTCTCCCAGTTATTCACGTATGCTTCTTTGGACATGTCTCTTAGTTGATCGTGTATGGTGTAATATTGTATTCTGTATTCTGGCGTCCATCCATGTTCTAGGATTAATTTGAATAAGTTACTAAACTGTGTCTGTAAAATTCTTGATTGATGTGTGTATTTGGGGTGTGGTAATGTGCGGTGAGTGGTCGTGGGTATGTGGTGTTCCATTGCTTGGATCACGTTTCCGTACCATGTCTCCAGTGTGCTGTCTATTTGGGAGGTGTGTTTGTTGTTTAGCCGGGTTATTTGGTGGTTGCTTAGCTCATTTTGGAATTCCTCCCAGTTGGATCGGCTGTAGCTGTATCTCGTCCTGGCAGGGATCTGAATTGGCGACGTGGAGAGTGTGGCTACGATAGGGAGATGGTCACTGGTGGTTATTGGGCCGGGTTCCATTTGCAGGTTAAGATGGTGATACTGGTTTGTTAGTACTATGTCTGGATGTCCGATTTTAACTGCACTGATGTATGTGGGGAATTCCGGGCCGAGGTGTATTGCGTTGCCATGACTCAGTAATGTGTTTAAAATCTTGCCCACGGCGTTGTTGTCCTGGTGTCCCAAGACGCGATGTCGAGCATTTAAATCACCCAAGAAATATGCTGGCATGTTTCTTCTCAGGAGGACGAGGTTAGGTCTTAAATAGCGGGGGTAGGCGTGGCTTAGTAGTTGACCCCCGCTCCGTGATGTATGGCGGCGCTGGTTGACCCAGACCACGAGGCATACACTGGGGAATTGGTGGGGTCGGCTACTCAGCGACAAACAGCGTTTGTAGGGGAGAAATCCACGACAGCACAAATCCAAACGTAATAATGAAATTTAACATAAATGCTGTTATAGGATTACAGTGTTTCAAAAATTAATAACTTCTTCAAGTTAACAGAATAATATTCTCATTTTGTAAAAAGCAATACTGGTAACAAGTTTATTTTCTTACATTTGTAGGATTATAGTGTATTAAGAATTACCGGTAATAACTTCAAGTCAACACAATATTCTCATTCTGTAAACAACAAAGATAGGTCAAAACATTTAAATTAGCTTAGTTGAACATTGAAAGGCTTATGTACTGTGACAAGATTAGATGCTTTTTCCTGTTCTAGGCGATTTCTTACCTTTGAGTGTACAAATCTATATGTGGAAAAATTCTCTCAACCCCTGCTGATGCAACAGCTGTAAATAATTGCCTAGGAACATGCATTACATTTTCTGTCATTTCATTGACAAAATACTGCCACCAAGCAAGGGGTGAGAGAGATTTTACAACATCTTTACCAAAATAGACCTCTTTAAATGGTGCACTTGTTCTGTGGAAGGACATTAATGTTGAAAGGAAATGTGGAAGAGACTCGCACACATACTGTTGTGCAATGTCTCGCTGCTCAGGAGTCAGATGTTTGCCCTGACACCTTGGATCTATCACATTAGCTAGAAAATGGGCAGGTGTCAATGCTACTTTGATTCTTTTTTCAAAATTATTCATATCCTCCTTATCTGTTAAATACTCGTTAATATCAGTTTTACCCAGATTTCTACAGCATCACTTAATAGGGTATGTTCTCTCTGGATACAGTCCAATGCCACAGCAATAGGCTTAAGTCTCTCTAAATAGTCTTCTGCAGTTCTTTTTAATGCCTTATCATTAACTTTCCTTTAAATTTTCTTATCAATGTCTTCACTATTTTATTTGCACACTTTGACAAGGGTCTCCCAGTTATTTAAATAACATTCAATAGAATCTGTCACTGTTCCATCGTGTGTGTGATGGCATTACTAGCATTGTTCCTCCTGCTCTTGTATACAAAGATCCTGGGAGGTGATAATTACTGAATTTCAATAGTATTATCTTAGGTAACAATATATTTCATGTAAATATATACATTAATAATGAGACCTTATGATATGATCAAAGTTTCGCAAAACTGGAGAGAACAGACTATATAGTACATAATTATGTAAATCCACATAATGTTGTTAGCCTGCTGCATTGTATATACTTTTCAATCATGTAGAATAAAAAGAAAACAGTTTAGTAAAAAAATTCATTGTGATTTAAATCATGATTTTTTTTACTCTGGTTTAAATGGATTTAAATCATTTGATTTAAATCATAACAACCCTGGTTTCTTGTGTTTGTTAGGTTAAGCAAAACTGCCAAATGTGTTAGTGCCTGGCAAAGGTCACCTGGCATATTTTGATTTGTTAAAATATTAAATTTAGGCTACAAAATATTTATACTAATGCAATATATATATTGTTAGTGTTGGAAGATTATTTATGAATTGCGCTCATTACGAAAATTGGGTAGATATTATTTCTGATAAGGGATGTCATTTACCATCTTTCAAGACCAGACTTGACCACCAGTGGAGCAATTTCAGGAGCCAGTATCTGCCCAGTACCTGCCAACAGTGCATAACAGAGCCAATACGTGGCAAGTACTGTACTTGCCAACAGTGCGTGACAGACGTGACCTATTCCCCAAGCGGCTCACGAGCGGATCAGTGGTGAAGAGCATGAAAGTAAAAGTAAGATAATCAGAGTATAAGATCTGCTTTGTTGTTCACCATTATATATTACAAAATTTAGATCCTAAAGCTTTTATATTATATAATTTTTAAATGATTAAGTTTATGATATTAGTAAGTTTTCATATTACTATGTTTTTAAATAACTGCTTTTGTATTAAGTTTTTAAATTACTAAGATTTTCATATTACTGTACTAAGTGTGTGGAGTGTTAGAGGGGCGAGTGGGGTGTGAGACAAGTGTGTGGCGTGTAAAGGTGGTGTAGGAAGGGTTTTGTGGACCATTAGGGTAGTGTGTGGGTGGTGTAGGAGGGGTGTGTATACCATTAGGGGAGTGCGAGACAAGTGTGTGTAGAGTGTTGGGGGTTGTGTGGACCATTAGGCGGTGATGTACAGTACTGTATGTTTCTTCAGGCTGTACTGTATTTGTAGTACCTGTAGTGTGTTGTATTGTTTGTCCAATATAATCAGTATACTGTTGGAGAAGTCCAAAAATCCAGACTGCTTGGGGATTGGGTCGGTCCGGATTTTCGAGCTTTTCAGGCAGTACTTTTAAAATTCAAATTTAAGGAGGAATAGAGAGATGAACAGATACATTTTGATAGTTTATTCATTAGCAAATACAGCATGCTTCATTTATCAAAACGAGCAGTTTTAAAGAAACAGCTGTGAATTCTATTCTTTGCCTTTTATATATCATAAATTGTAGACTTTCCAATGTGATATGTTTCCATTAGAACAGTATTGCTCACACCACTTCTATTTTCTTAATTATTTCAAGTTTTTCATCGTGTTCTTCTTTCTCTTCACACAACGAAGTTTATCTACTTTAGGAGCCATTATCACGGGCTTGTACAGTACTCTGTAAATGGAAAGAGTGGGACTCAAAATTACATACGTTGTTACAGGGGGGTATATTGTTTAATCATTTGGTAAAGTCCCAAGATAATTGATTATGTTTCACAAGATCTTGAGAGTACTGTATAATACGTTTCATTGTTCACTAGTATTAAATATTAGTAAGTTTTATATTACAAAGTTAGTAAATTAGAGTGCTGTGTATAGTGGATCTTCTTCCTAAAAAGACAGTGGGCTAGAGTGCTGTGTATAGTGGATCTTCTTCCTAAAAAGACAGTGGGCTAGAGTGCTGTGTATAGTGGATCTTCTTCCTAAAAAGACAGTGGGCTAGAGTGCTGTGTATAGTGGATCTTCTTCCTAAAAAGACAGTGGGCTAGAGTGCTGTGTATAGTGGATCTTCTTCCTAAAAAGACAGTGGGCTGAAAGTACTTGTGTATAGTGGATCTTCTTCCTAAAAAGACAGTGGGCTAGAGTGCTGTGTATAGTGAATCTTCTTCTAAAAGACAGTGGGCTAGAGTGCTGTGTGTAAGTGGATCTTCTTCTAAAAACCAGTGGGCTAGAGTGCTGTGTATAGTGGATCTTCTTCCTAAAAAAGGCAGTGGGCTGGGGAAGTGCTGTGTATAGTGGATCTTCTTCCTAAAAGACAGTGAGCTAGAAGTGCTGTGTATGGGATGGATGGCTTCTTCTTCTTCTTCTTCTTCTTCTTCTACGTTATGCAAGTCATGAACATTGTACAACAATATTTGTGCTCACCTGTATAAGACTTCAGCTAATGTCAAATAGCCAAGAATGCTCTTCCACCTCCCACACTTCTGAAATAAAAACGTCAACAATTATTAAAATTTGCCCTTGTACAAGACTTTTTTCCCCAAAATATCTCAATTACCCTTCGTCTAATCTTAGCCGTGGCTTAAGCTAGCAAGTCTGGGACGAGCAGTAGTCTACTAAGCACAAACAAAATTATCACAAACTTACTGCAAATTGGACGAAGATGTAAATAATGGCTTAACAGCAGATGGAACCTCACAGTATTCACAAATAAAACTTTCTTTTTAACTATGGTAAATTTAATTTATGCTCACCTGTATATTGTATATAAAGGCTTCAGCCAAGGTCAAATATCCTACAAAGGTCATCCACCTCCCACTCAAATCTGAAATAAGTCATTAAACCGTCAACCTTTATAGACAAATTATATTTATATCAAGTCCAAATATCCACTTATATCAAGACAAATCAACTTTATAACAACAATTCAGAGAACAACACACACACCACAATTAGTAGGTATAACCTGTAATATTTGATCACTAACATTAACTATGATCTGTACACAATAGTTACTGTTCAAGTTTAATCATTTACCTATTATACAGTACAGCATTAATTTAGCACAAAATTACTGGCAAAATACTATATTTAAGTTGAACTGAACCCCTCCCCCTAAAAATACCCATTTGTTGGTACAGTTTCCTGCCCTTTTCCAGTATTGTATTTTTAAAACCGGGCTGGGCTGGGTTGTAGCAGTTGCAGTGGGAGGGTTGTGCGCCTCTAACAAAGCGTGTTCCGCATCGGCCTTCGATGTAGAGCGCAGAATTGGACAGTGATTACATAAGTTCGTCAAAGATCGTCTTAGTGAGGTGAAAGTGTAAATCGATTTCGGACTTTTCATGCTAGACACGATTGTATTTTTAACTCAATTTCCACAGAGTTGGAGGTACAGCCAGGGTCACAGGCCTATAACCACACAATCACTGCCACATGACAATATTTTATTTTATTTTAGGGTGTTGTGGTCACAGCTGTGATAAAGGCCAACCAGGGAGTGTAGTACTGTGCCTTCAGTTAAAATCAGTTCATAGTTGTCATCAGTGAATGCAGAAGAGACTATAATAACTTAAAGTGAATACATATGCAATCGAGCTGGTAAGGACAACTGCCAGCCTATACGTTTCATAGGTGCCAGAGACTTTAAATTTTATTTTGTTTGTGTGCTTTCTCAAGGACTGAAACTATTACCTAATACACCATTCACAGGAGATACAGGTACACAGTCACAGCGACAACTCCCATAGGCAACAGAGTAACTAAGTACTTTTTCTCTCTTTATTTTCTTTATAATAGGTGTAGATTTATACACAGTCTGCACCCCCACCCCCCACAACAACAACAACCATGAGTTTGATATGTGATTACTGAGGAGACGTCAGATATGGAGGATACAGGCCTAACTAATGCAACGTTTAGGAAGTTACTAACTGCCGTAAAGCATGATGGCTGTTGCTGGTGTAACGGGCCGAGTTTACTCTTTTCAATAATTTACCATCCAGCTATTCTTATATGTTCTTTATCTCTATATACCTTATATTCTTATATACCATACTCTTATGATAAGTACAATTAACAATCCAACAGTAGCTACGCAGAAATGGAAAGCACATTGAACAGATCAGCGAGTTCCGCGCTCAGAGCCGTGACAGTCTCCACTGTAGAAACTGGAAGGCAAGTATATAATAAAATTCATAAGTAAAAAAAGCAGCTGAAAAATACAACATGAATTTAACACCAAACTTGTGTTATCTCAATAAATTCAAACAATTACAAATTGACTCCAACTGAGAAAAAACTCTTTCTAAGTTACTACAATTCCGTTCACCAGCAAAATAAAAAAATTATATAACCTCCAACACTCACTTAAGTTATATAAAAATTAAAAAGTTAAGAAAAAGAATACTCAAGTTAGAATCTGAACACTTTCATTAAAATCCAACATTTAAATATCACAGCTAAAAATAAAAACATTGATTACACCCAACCTGTACTCATGACATTTCTGGTGACACTCAAGAGATGAACTCAGTTCATCACACACTGAACCAACTGGAGTGCACATTATACTGCCCACAAATTACAATTACCACTTTCTAAATTCACCAATAAAAACTCAAAGATGAGTTAGGTAACATTACAAAAAAATTTGGTGCATTACCCTATCTGTAACACTCGAAAAATTACTTTCTTCACAAAAGTGGTGAAACTAAATCAATTGTTAATTCTAACAAAAACTTTGCAGATTACCTACAGTATTATACTTGACAAAAGTTTGTACTTTAAATCACAAATTATTACTCCTTACTGATGACAAAACTTATATATTACTATATACCACTGTATTCTGAGAAGACAAATTCACCAAGTATCACACCTCATTCCTTCAAATTGGTTCTCAAATGAAAATAATCCCACTATTAGTGCCATTTGTAACGGCGAGTTTTAATCTTTTTCAATAATTTACCATCCAGCTATTCTTATATGTTCTTTATCTCCTATACCTATATTCTTATAAATAACTCTTATGCTGCTCTACTTTTACTTGACCCACTTGGCACTGAAGGTACTATGTTAAACATGAACACTGATATTCACAAAAATGACTAAAGTTAAACTGAGTTAATCTGGGAATGGAACACCGTGAACCTACCAGCAGACGTGGGAGAAGAGTCACGAATGCGTGATTCTCCTCGATATGAGGTATCGTGCCCTTCTGCAACCAGGGGCCTCCATATTCACGCCAGAAAGGTCAATCTACCAACAACATACCTTTCTACCATGTTGGATCACGATATTTAATTATGAACTCCGGTGTTCCGGATCAGGTATTCCTATAGTCCATTCATATTCAACAGAGGTTGGGCTTGCCAGGAAAGGTGGAATATACATTGATAACAACAATACCCAAGCTCAGGCCTGCAACAGACAAGGAACTATTCACAGGAGACGTTAGATCTTGAGATTATACCAGTTGACAATAGTTCAAGAAATTAATGACTTTCTAAATAGATAACTGACTAATTAAACTACAAACATCAGATTCTCTGATGTCGGGGCACAAAAATGATCTAACTGGACGCGATCAGAAACTCATGGATATTCTTAGAACGAAACCGATGGGTATCGTTTGTCCTGGCAGACCGAACACTCACTTACTTGACACGTCTTACCAACAATAAGGGCATGGAAGCGTTCAACACCACTCACAATGGATCTTGAATGTTTTCAACTGTAAACCGACATATCTAAGCTGACTCTAAACCAGGGTGTTTCTCTCACATTCAAATTCATTTCTATAGAGGTTGGTTTCCGTAAGTCAGAAAATGGGATAACGGAGGACTGGGCGTCTTGAAGTGACAGACTCCTCCAGATGGAGACTCAAAAATAAAAGCAGAGGTACATGTTTTGTGGTATGAGCGTAATATGAATCATGTGATTTTGGCGTTAACTGACGTGTACGACCGTGGTCGTTACCTGCATTTCCATGTATAGTCAAGGTGAATGAAGCGATTGCAAACTCATAAGGGAACGAGTTCTCTAGGGACGAAAATAGATGACAGGAGCCCCGTTGGTTGACAACCGGGAGCAAGTTGGAGAAAGAGATCCTTGCTAAGACTGGAGGAAGTAGCTAAATAGAATGGAGGTGGTTGCTAAGAGAGTTATGCTGACGTATTAGGAGGCCACGGGGGATGAGTAATGCAGAATCAGTACAGGTTCTACAGCAGATTGGGACTGGAAAAGTGTGTCGAAGAAATGAAAATTAACGGACCCATTGTTAGGGGAGACGAGGAACACCAGGAACGGCTCTGAAAGAGGAACAATGGCCAGTTTTGGAGTCCCAGAGAGCCAGGCAGAGGAACTGAGTAAGGAAACACAATGCATAAGGTGCTGTTTCAAAAATATTTAAGAGAGTGTTCTAAAGACTCCAGCAACCCTCAGGATGTGAGGAGACTGGGGACAAAAGCAGGGGGCTAAGCCTCACCAGGATCACACTAGGGAGTGAGGAGGAGAATGCAAGTTATTCGGGCAGTCAAAAAACTTAGCAAGGAGCAAGGCATTTCGGGATGTATTTATTTCACCCAGACCGCACGGTAATGCAGAGGAACAGCACACAAGAAGCCCTGCAGGACTTGAAGCAGAAGAGGGAGGAAATGAGGAGGAATCGGGACAGGCACATGGGTTATACTCAGGGGAAGTGGGTAGTGGAAACAAGGTGCTGACACAGCCAGGGGCAGCAGTGCACCTCCACTCCACTCAACCCCCACCTGGGAGGCGGCACCAGCTCAGCCTACCGGACAGGAGGAACGAGCACTGTAAACAATGACATTTTTAACTACACCCTGCAAAATACAGTACTTAGCAAATGCTGCAGCTGAGAATGTGGGTGGAGCGGGCTTATTACTAAGAGCAGAGATGTTACGAGAGAACAAATTCTGGCTTGAATGTCATGTACACTCAATACTGACATCGTTCCTTGATAAGAGGGAGGAGTTTCAAACACTACTAAGAGTACACCAACCAGATATTGTAGGAGTTGTAGAACTGTTGTACAAGAACAGGAGAATCGACCCAGAGGAATGCGAAGTTCAGAATTGCTGGATATGACTCATTTTATGAACCTAAATTCCAAGAATCCTGCAGGAGGGGTGGTTATTCATGCCAGGCAAGACCTTAGAGCCAGCCAGGGCGAGGGTACAGGAGAGGATGTTTTGAAGAGTCCAAGTGGTGTAAAATTAAATTAAAGGAGGGGACTTACTTATCGTCGGGTGTATCTACAGATCCCCAAACCAGGCCTACTAAATCAAAGGAACTTAAGAACCTTAATAAACAATGCGGGCGATGCTCAACCCCAGCCACCTCCTTATCATGGGGACTTTAACTATGGCGACATCGACTGGAGAAACGAGTCCACCCGAATGACTCCTCCTGAATAATCCTACATTTTTTTTTTTTGTAGAAACAGATAATTCTTTTCGTTCCAACATGTGAGAGACCACACATTACAGAGAGGGAGCAAACACCTGCTTACTCTTACCCCATCATAACAAACGAGGAGGGTATGGTGGCCAAACTGGGAACATCTTTGCCCCAGTTGGCACCAGTCACCATACAGTGTTGGGTTATTCAGATTTAACTGTACCTAGTTCAAGATAAGGCCAGGCCAAGGGTGCAACATTACAAGGGAAATTACAATGGGATGAGAAGAGATGAGGGCATCAACTGGCCTGACTTATTAAGGTACAAGAACGCAGACACTACGCTGAATATAACTACAGTAAAATTACCCATTTGATCGATAAATATATACCCAAGACCAAACCCAGTGTTTAGGAATACGAGGGGATTACTACACATGAACCATGCGGCGGTCGACAAATTAAGAAGAAAAACCCAGATATTCAAGACGTGGCTAACAAACGATGAGCAAGACAGGAGGATGGTATGCAAGAGCCAGAAACCAAGCAAGATAGAGTGTAGGGAGGGCTGAAAAGGAGCTCCAGAGGCTGGTTGCACGCGAGGTCAAGTCAAAACCCAAAGGCGTTTTGCATCGCTATGCAAAGTCGAAATTGGAAAAACGCGAGTAGGAGAACAGACCTGAGGCTGGTGGATGGTAGTTACGAGATTCCTGGACTAGGATAAAGCCGAGGCATTGAACAGCTTTTTCTCAGTGTTCACAAGAGAGGATGCAACTAACCTTCCTGCGTTTGAGGACAGACGGTTCGATGACAGCACTGACCCACATTGTGTTCACAGAAGAGGGTATTAGAAATAAACTGTCCAGGCTAAAGGTCCATAAGAGTCCTGGACTGACATGGTACATCCTAGAGTGTTAAGAGAGCTGTGCAACGAATCCTGGCAGAGCCCCTGAAGATTCTGTTTGTAAATGCCCGATAACAAATGGTCCCCAGTGAATGGAAAGTGGTTATGTGAGTCCTATCTTCAAGAAGGGCGATAGTCACCCACGAACAACTATAGACCGGTGAGCCTGACCAGCATAATATGTAAAGTACTTGAAAGTATTATCAGAGATGCAGCGATGGAACATCTACTATTTAAACAACCTTGCAAAGATTGCCAACACGGTTTTATGCCGCGCTCTTGCTTTTTGACGCAATGCTCAAGGTATTGGATATTTGGACCCATATTCTAGAACGGGTGGTATTATCGACAATATTTACCTAGATTTTGCTGGCTTTCGACAGTGTACCCACGAAAGGCTGAAAATCAAACTGAAGGGTACGGAATTCGGGGAAATGTCCTAGCGTGATAGAAGACTTTCTATATGACCGCAAGCAATGTGTGGTGATTAATGGCACGAAATCGTCATCTGTACCTGTAACAAGTGGGGTACCGCAGGGTAGTGTATTGGGCCCGCTGTTGTTTGTTTGTTTCATAAATGATATGCCTGACGTTGTTAATTCTCCATACAAATGTTTGCCGATGATGGCAAGTTATTTCGGGAAATAAGAACCAAGCGACTGTGAAGAGCTGCAGAAGGACTCCTGTGGGCTCCAGGAATGGTCAAGGAATGGCTGCTGAGATTCAATGCAAAGTGTAAGAGGATGCACCTGGGCGTACCAACGTAAGGAGGCGTACCATATGTCCCAACGGATAAAGAAAATGTACGTTGAGACTGTGAGAAGGACCTAGGTGTATAAGGACAATGAGCTGAAGTTCTCGGGCCACTGTGAGAAGAAGTGCACCAGTAAATAAATTATTGGCCTTATAAGAAGGTCGTTCAGATATCTAGGACGGTCCGTCCTCGTGACGCATCTTCAGGAGGAAGTGCTTCCCATCTGAGTACTGTCATCCATCTGTCCTTTGAGATATGCTATAGGGACTGTCAGTTGGTTGAAAATGTTCAAAGGAGGGCCACCTCAAACTGGTGCCTGCACTCGCACCTCAGCTACTCCTGAGATTGAGCGCCTGAACTCTGCTCTAGCTTATACTACAGACGGCAAGGGGGGGACCCAGTTGGAGGTTTATAAGCATCTCAGGGGCAATTACTCAGTTGGAGTGTCCCATTGAGCTGGCGGACGCTCACCACAAGGTCACAGCTCAAGATTGAAGAAGCCGCAAGTCCAGAAAACCGTGAGGGCAAACTTTTTCGAGTCAGGGTTGTAAACTCTAGGAACAATCTACCAGAGTGTTGTGACGGCACCGAGCGAGCTCTTTTCGCTTAAGACTTGACCAACACTGGAGCGGGTCTAGGTACATCTGGTTTCGGTGCATGCCCAGTATTTGCCAACAGTGCGTGATAGATGACCGACGTTCTGATGGCTAGCGAGCTGACCTTTGTGGTGAAGAATATATGAAAGAGATGACCGATCGCCCAAGCGTACAACAAGCCATCAGTGGCGAAGAGGATAAAAGTAAAGTAAAGTATATACACTCGCACTGAGCTCGAGGTGGCCGACGGGAAGTGATATTGCAAGTGTCTCGAACCCCTCCGCGCCAGCAAGCTGGGGCCGAGGCAGGCATTGCATGGTATGACTGGCAGCGTAGGAAGACTAGAGGAAAAGCCAGTCAGCCAGCATTAAAAGAGTTCACCAGTTGCCCTCATATTAACACAATTACCAAGATTTAAAATCGTGTAAAGTACCTTAGTATGAAATTTAAACTACTTTCTTACAAATGCTGGAGACTAAGGGATTTAGGTTAAGCTTTTTTTTGGAAAAATCAATATTTTGACAACGTGAAAACTAACTTCTTCGTAACGTAAAGATGGTCTACATATTTAAGAATACCCTGTATCTATAAAGGCTTTTTAAAACCTACAAGCAAAGCATACTTTAAATATCTAATTATTTCAAAATAAGTTAACAATTACTCTATTTTTTTTTAAAGGTGAACAAATCCTTAAACAAAACTAAGAAACCACAACGACAGCTACAGTACTGTACTTTAAGTTATAGCAGAATGTTTCCGATTTTGTGCAACAACAGTTCCGTTAACGGAAACTAACAGTCTTGTGTACTCATCTTCACGGTCCTCGAATGAATAATATTGTAACTAAAAATTAAGTAATGTAGTCTTTGTACAACTGTAATGCAATAAAATAAGAACACACATCTATAGTACGTCTCTATAGCCAAAATATATACCAAATCTTGTGAAGTACGTCCGAATAAACACTTAAAATATTTAACATTAAATCTTCGTGAACATGAAATTAACCACAATTAACACATACCGCATAGGAACAGGGTTGCCACATGTACGACAAGCTTCACGGCCAAATCTTTTTGGATGGAAAGCACAAAGCTATTTTTGCAATCCACACAAAATAAAAATCTCCCCCACAATATGCACTTAAAATGTCGCAACAAAACAAATTTTTCACTTATAATTCAGGGCCCAATAATTACATAAACATAATATCTGTAATCCACAGTGAAGACTTACCGTAAACTCAAATGGTGGTGGAGCATGATAATGGTGGAGTCCAGTTCGTCACCGTCCCCTGGTTCTTCCTTCTCGTACATGATTACAGAGTTAAATAGCTCCACCATGTGTGGTGTTACTTTCAAATCTCTGCAACATTTTCCTTGGCACTGGAGCATTTTCACTTCCATCACTGGCTATACTAACACAGACGAATTTTTCTTCCCATAATTTGTTATATTTTCTACCACTGTCGTAGGACACTTTGCAAAAACTAGTGGACATTTTGAAAACTATCACTCAGAATTTCAGAAAGTAACTCAGATGGCTTTGTAAACTATAACGCAGGGGTTCTCAACCAGGGGGGAATTTACCCCCTCAGGGTTTCAGGGGGGGGGGGGAACTGATACTAATATGGAAATAATAAAGGATTTTCAGTATTATATGCATATTATTTGGAATGCACTTTTTGAGGCAGACAATCTTGGAAAGGAGGGGGGAATGACATTCTGACATATGGTGAAAAGAGTGCATGGGGCAAACAAGGTTGAGAACCACTGCTATAAAGCTTAACCCATATGCTGGACACGTTCAGCCTGAACAACTCAAATATGAGAACTAACAACTAAGGCAGTAACTAGTAAGGACAGTCACCTTTCAATTGAGAAATTTGAAAATCTGTTAGACATGTCTTCAAAATCCACTAGATGAGGTATTAACACAAAATTCGACCAAATAGTTTGGCCGTGACCAACCACTTTCCACGGCCGAAGTAGAAAAATTGGACAACCTTGTATAGGCGAGTCCCAGAGATAACTGATTCGAGTAAGTGACAGCAACAACGTCGTGGACCCCCCCTCCTTCCCTCCCACCTCACACCACTTCGTCCGAATGATTAACTATAATACAAACTTCATCGTATATACAAATTTTAACTTACATTTAAGGTCAATTAAGTCATTTATAATATTATTAAAATAAAATAAGAAAAAACAAAGAGACAAAGATGAAATTTACGTAAAAAAAATTATTATAAAGACGAATATTCAAGTCTACTTGCCTCCGAGGATTCGGACACAGCAAAGTTTAAGCAGGGAAGCCAACTTTACCGATCTGTAGACTCAACATGGCTGCCAACATTACCTGTAAACAATACAGATTAAATCCTTAAATAATCCTCCAATTTTAATATTTTTAATACAAATTCACTATTTTTTTTTTAATATTAACATAATAATTTTAAAATCAATAAATATTTAACTCGGAAAACTTTTCGGGGGATAAATACAGACGTATTACTTACCCACTACTATAATGAGGCAATTGGCTTGTTTACGTGCATTCGTAATAGATAAATTAATTTATTAGTGGTGTGTTTTAAACAAATTCAAAAGGAGCTGGTTAGTATGCTAACTAGCCCGCCCAAAACTACTCTTAACAAGAGCTCTTTAATATTGTACGTAATCATAAAACAGAGAATCATAGAAGATCTTTCCAAAGTATCCAACTGAAGAAGATCCTCCAGCCGCGCTCATATGAAGATCTTCCCAAAGTATCCAACTGAAGATCCTCCTCCAGCTGCGGCTCATATGAAGATCTTCCCCAAAGTATCCAACTGAAGATCCTCCCCAGTCGCGCGCTCATATGAAGATCCCCAACATATAATATAAATAAACAATATAAGGATTAAATAATAAAAACATTATTCAGATTACTTTCTTGTTACACCAAATATTGGTGTAGGTTAGGTTAGGTGGTCATAGTGACGTCAGGTCAGGTAAGGCCGGTTTGGTCATTGGTCAGGTTAGATCCTCCTATTTCAGGTGTTGATCATATGATGATCCTCCAAGTAGGTTTGGGGGAGGATCTTCATATGATCCCAGATATGTATACAAATAAATAGATATGCATAAAAATCTACACCCATAATCAAAATTTCTTCCAAATATTGTCCATTTCATTGCTGTCGGATTTTACCATTCCAGATTTTATCTTTTGATACTCAAAAATACAACTTCATATTCTCTACAATTCTATTAGCCACACCCTGTTTCGCCAAATCATCAGCATGAGCGCTTTGGCTGTCAACAAACCCAAACTGTTTTTTTGTCCCACATATATAGCATCCTTGACCAATCGGCGGTTCAAGACGTACCTGGCGCTTCCTCTCTGGAGCAGCCAGGTCAACTGTTAAGTTGGCTCCATACCAACCTCCCTGAACCCTCCTCCCACAGGAATATCAACAAGTTCTCGCCAGAAGTTACAATTTCATTTAGGAAAGGAATGGAACCAGTGTTAAACAGAGGTGAACAGTACTTAAGTCAGTGAGAACAACTCAACAGTAACAGTCAAAACGGTTAACCACACAGTGAGGCCCCAGGTAACCAGTGATAACGGCCCGGAGACCCAACAACAACAACCAACGATGTGTTAACTGTCTATCTACGATAGGAAGGCCTGGGACCACACCTCACTCATATAACACCATCTGTGAGGGAATTACTACACATGTCCCTCATAACACCATCTGTGAGGGAATTACTACACCACGTCAAGTCCCTCATAACACCATCTGTGAGGGAGTTACTACACCACGTGAGGCCCCTGTAGTGGAATTCTCCCCTACAAACGCTGTTTGTCGCTGCCTAGCCGACCCCACCAATTCCCCAGTGTATGCCTCGTGGTCTAGGTCAACCAGCGCCGCCATACACCACGGAGCGGGGGTCAACTGCTAAGCCACGCCTACCCCCGCTATTTAAGACCTGACCTCGTGGTGATCTCTCTCTTTCTACCTACAGCCGCAGCCAGCAACACCTCCTCCTCCGCTGCCTGGCGGCCTCTCCCCTCCGCCTGCCTGGCGGTCTCTCTCCCGCCGGCGAGCATGGCGACCCACAAGCTGTCCTTCTCTGAGCGTCCTCACCAACCAGCTCTCTCTACATCACGCTTGTAACCATGCTGCCTTCCCAGCACCAAGCTGCATTGTACATCAATACAACATGTATATAGAGCACATTGTGAGTTTCCTTTCTCCATCCCATCCTGAGTGTGAACCAAACAATCTCATACCCACAAATGGTGACCCCGGAGTGACCACTCACACAGGATGGAGAGAAACTGATCACGCTCCCAGTCTTCAAGCAACATGGAAGACTGGCTTATCCAGAAGCAGCTCTCATCGGCTCTACAGCTACTGTCTCTACACCGCAGGTTAGACACCCTAGAGCAGCTCTGCTACTCTAAGCAGACACCAGCTCCTCTTCCTGCCCCAAGCACCACGTCCTACCGACCCCAGCACACCCGTCCTGCCTCAGACGCCGACCCCGGCCCAGCAGTAACCCTGCCGCCCCTTGATGCGGCCTCTGTTCCCTGAGTGCGGACCCACACACACCCCTCTTTTCTCCCCAGGTACTCCCTGCTAATGTCCTGCACCCTGCTGCTGTCGTGGACCCAGCTGCTGTCACGAGCCCTCATCCGCTTCTGCTGACGCAGCCCCTGCTCCTGACCCAGGCCCCACACACCCCAGCAGGCACATCTGACGACTCGGTACCTGCCGTGAGGGAAGCACAAAATTCATCGCCTCCACACACCCTTATTCTCCCTCTCTACTCCCACAGATATTGTGTATCTAGACAGTTGTCCCAGCGACCGGCTCATCCACGCCATCGTCTCACATGAGGCACGCACCGCCCGTTCTGCCTCACATGTGCTATGCAACTCTGCAGACAACAAGTCTCCTACACAGCCTGGAGGAAGGGAGTATTGTAGTGGAATTCTCCCCTACAAACGCTGTTTGTCGCTGCCTAGCCGACCCCACCAATTCCCCAGTGTATGCCTCGTGGTCTAGGTCAACCAGCGCCGCCATACACCACGGGCGAGGGTCAACTGCTAAGCCACGCCTACCCCCGCTATTTAAGACCTGACCTCGTGGTGATCTCTCTCTTTCTACCTACAGCCGCAGCCAGCAACACCCCTCCTCCCTGCCTGGCGGCCCTCGCTCCTCCGCCTGCCTGGCGGTCCTCTCTCCCGCTGGCGAGCATGGCGACCCACAAGCTGTCCTTCTCTGAGCGTCCTCACCAACCAGCTCTCTCTACATCACGCTTGTAACCATGCTGCCTTCCAGCACCAAGCTGCATTGTACATCAATACAACATGTATATAGAAGCACATTGTGAGTTTCCTTTCTCCATCCCATCCTGAGTGTGAACCAAACAATCTCATACCCACACCCCTCCCTACTACTACATCGTCTTTACTACCTATACATCGGCACCGAGTGTGAACTCTTCTTTCAGAACCAGACTTGATAAGAACTGGAGCAGGTTCAGATACATTCAGGAGCCAGTGCATGCCCAGTACTTGCCAAGCGTGCGTAACAGAGACGTGAACGATCACCCAAGCGGCTAACGAGCCGATCCGGTGGTGAAGAGGATAAAAGAAAAACGTAAAAAGTGTCCATTTCAATAAGATCTATTTTTGGCGCTGTCGCTATCGCGTGAATGGCATCCTAGCATTAGACTTGCAAGTTTTCATATATTTTAAAATTATCAAGAGATCATTCCGATTTTCAATTTAATTTAAAAAATTCCAATTAAATTCTTGTTTTGCGGGTAATGGCACATTAGAATAACCCGTAATAGTTCTACTGTGGGGTACGTTATGTTTGGGTTCACACTCAGGATGGGATGGAGAAAGGAAACTCACAATGTGCTCTCTGTATACATATTGTATTAGATGTACAATTCAGCTTGGTGCTGGGAAGGCAGCATGGTTACAAGCGTTGAGTAGAGAGGCTGGTTGGTAGGGGTGCTCAGAGGAGGCTATGAGTGGATTTCTCCCCTACAAACGCTTGTCTAGCTGGTGGCCGACCCCGAAATTCCCCAGTGTATGCCTCGTGGTCTAGGTCAACCAGCGCCGCCCACGGGGCAGTACCACATACCTCACCTACTCAAACACCTGACCTCGTGTGACCGCCCTCTTTTTAGCAACAGCGCAGCAGTAACACTACCTCCTCCGCCGCTGCCTACGGTCCCTCGCTCCCGCCGGCGAGCATGGCGACCCACAAGCTGTCCTCCTCTGAGCACCCTCACCAACCAGCTCTCTCTACATCACGCTTGTAACCACGCTGCCACTTCCCAGCACCAAGCTTCATTGTACATCCAATACAACATGTATACAGAAGGCACATCGTGATTTTTGAATCTCGAACCAAAAAACCCGTTCCCCACAGGACCAGCTTGTGGGTCGCTATGGTCGCCGGCGGGAGCGAGGACCGCCAGGCAGGGGGAGGAAAAGGAGGTGTTGCTTGCGGGTAGCTGTAAGTAGAAAAGAGAGGTAGGTCACCACGAGGTCAGGTCTTATATAGCGGAGGTAGGCGTGGCTTAATAGTTGACCTCCGTCATGTAAGGCGGCGCTGGTTCACCTAGACCACGAGGCATACACTGGAGAATTCGCGGGGTCGGCTACTCAGCGACAAGCGTTTGTAGGGGAGGAATCCACTACACACCCTTCTTTCCTCAGAGAGCCAAACTGTATAGTGCTCTGGCCTCTGTGTTTCCATACTCATACAATCTGTCTCACTTCAAAAAACTGGTTTTCCGGATTCATTGCGTACTAAATTAATATAGTATTTTTCTCTTCTCCTTTTTATTTCTAATTTCTTTTTACTCTTATCCCCCCCCCCCCAGGTCCGATAGTGGGTCGAAGATCTGTGCCTGGGTGGGCGATACCCCCGTAAGAAAACAAATATCCGTAATATATATATATATATATATGCTGATAACCACAAGGAAACAAGAAAACACGAAGTTCCCAAGCGCTTTCGTGTTTTCTTTCCTTGTGGTTATTTTTTTAATTTTATCCTCTTCTTCTCCACTGATTGGCTTGTTAGCCGCTTGGGTGATCGGTCACGTCTCTTTTCATTTATCTTATGGGGTATGAGATATTTGGGTTCACACTCAGGATGGGATGGAGAAAGGAAATGCACAATGTGCTCTCTGTATACATGTTGTATTGGATGTACAATGCAGCTTGGTGCTGGGAAGTGGCAGCGTGGTTACAAGCGTGATGTAGAGAGAGCTGGTTGGTGAGGATGCTCAGAGGAGGACAGCTTGTGGGTCGCCATGCTCGCCGGCGGGAGCGAGGGCCACCAGGCAGCGGCGGAGGAGGAGGTGTTGCTTGCTGCAGTTGTAGCTAGAAGAAGGGAGAGGTCACCACGAGGTCAGGTCTTTTATAGCGGAGGTAGGCGTGGGTAGATAGTTGACCCCCGCTCCGTGGGCGGCGCTGGTTGACCTAGACCACGAGGCATACACTGTGGAATTCGCGGGGTCGGCTACTCAGCGACAAACAGCGTTTGTAGGGGAGAAATCCACTACAATACTCTCTCCTTCCCTCCAGGTGGTGTAAGAGACTTGTTGTCTGCAGGGGTGCATGGCACATGTGAGGCAGAACGGGCGGTGCATGCCACATGTGAGCCATAACGGCGATGGCGTGGATGAGCCGGCCGGTAGTGGAGGCAACTGTCTAGACGCACAAGATCTGTGGGAGAAGAGAGGGAGAAAGAGGGTTGTGGAGGTGATGAATGTTGTGTTTTCCTCGCGACAGGTACAGAGTCCTCAGGTGTTCCTGCTGGGGTGTGTGGGCCTGGGTCAGGAGCAGGGGCTGCGACAGCAGAAGCGGATGAGGGCTCGTGACAGCAGATGGGTCCACGACAGCAGCAGGGTGCAGGTCAGTAGCAGGGAGGTATCTGACGGAGAAAAGAGGGGTGTGTGGGTCCGCACTCAGGCGCATGGGCCGCGTCGGGAGCGGGGGCTGCATCAGGAGGTGCGGCAGGGGGTACTGCTGGGCCAGGGGCGGCGTCTGAGGACGGGTGTGCTGGGGTCGGTAGGACGTGGTGCTTGGGGCAGGAAGAGGAGCTGGTATCTGCTTAGAGAAGCAGTGCTGCTCTAGGGTGTCTAACCTGCGGTGTAGAGACAGTAGCTGTAGAGCCGATGAGAGCTGCCTCTGTGTGGATAAGCCAGTCTTCCATGTTGCTTGAAGACTGGGAGCGTGATCTGTTTCTCCTCCATCCTGTGTGAGTGTGAATCTCCGGGGGTCACCATTTGTGGGGTATGGGATGTTTGGGTTCACACTCAGGATGGGATGGAAAAAGAAAACTCACAATGTGCTCTCTGTATACATGTTGTATTGGATGTACAATGCAGCTTGGTGCTGGGAAATGGCAGAGTGGTTACAAGCGTGATGTAGAGAGAGCTGGTTGGTGAGGATGCTCAGAGGAGGACAGCTTGTGGGTCGCCATGCTCGCCGGCGGGAGCTAGGGCCACCAGGCAGCGGCGGAGGAGGAGGTGTTGCTTGCTGCAGTTGTAGCTAGAAGAAGGGAGAGGTCACCACGAGGTCAGGTCTTTTATAGCGGAGGTAGGCGTGGGTAGATAGTTGACCCCCGCTCCGTGGGCGGCGCTGGTTGACCTAGACCACGAGGCATCATACACTGTGGAATTCGCGGGGTCGGCTACTCAGCGACAAACAGCGTTTGTAGGGGAGAAATCCACTACAATCTTCTTCACCAAAAGATCGGCTCGCTAGCCGCCCGGGCGATCGGTCACGTCTCTGTCACGCACTGTTGGCAAATACTGGGCATGCACCGGCTCCTGAATGTACCTGAACCCACTCCAGTGTTGGTCAAGTCTTGTCTTGAAAGAGCTCACACTCGGTGCCGTCACAACACTCTCTGGTAGATTGTTCCAAGAGTTTACAACCCTCACTCCGAAAAAGTTTGCCCTCACAGTTTTCTGGACTTGCGGCTTCTTCAATCTTGAGCTGTGACCCCTTGTGGGGCGGTCCGACTAATTACCCAAATGTACCCAAATGTAGCAAAATATAGCCGGAATTAAGTCAAATAATGGTCCTACATGAATAAATCGGACTGCCAATCATTTCTCGACTAGTATTTGGTGACACAAAGTCACAAAAAATTGGAAAACTTACTTTAATCTGAGTTAATACATCTCGCGCATGTACCGAGGGAGCGAGGAATTACCCAAATATACCCAAATGTAGGCAAATGTAGCCGCAATGAAGTCAAATGATAGTCGTACAAGCGCAATTCGGGCAGTGAATCACTTCTCGATTATTATTTGGTGTCATAAAGTCACAAAAAATTGGTAAACTTAATTTAATCTGAGTTGTGTTGTGTTAGGTTAGGTTAGGTTAGGTTAGGTTAGATTAGATTAGGTTAGGTTAGGTACATGCACTTGATCTATTAACTCAGATTAAATTAAGTTTACCAATTTTTTGTGACTTTATGACACCAAATAATAATCGAGAAGTGATTCACTGCCCGAATTGCGCTTGTACGACTATCATTTGACTTCATTGTGACTACATTTGGGTACATTTGGGTAATTCCTCGTTCCGTCGGTACATGCACTCGATCTATTAACTCAGATTAAATTAAGTTTACCAATTTTTTGTGACTTTGTGACACCAAATACTAGTCGAGAAGTGATTAGCAGTCCGATTTATTCATCTCGGACCATTATTTGACTTCATTCCGGCTATATTTGGCTACATTTGGGTACATTTGGGTAATTAGTCGGACCCCCCAAATGTAGGCAAATGTAGCCGCAATGAAGTCAAATGATAGTCGTACAAGCGTAATTCGGGCTGTGAATCTCTTGTGGTGGCGAGCATTCGCCAGCTCCAAGTAAGCATATACCTGGATCACGCGCAACTACAGTGATTTACTTGCATATATATATATATATATATATATATATATATATATATATATATATATATATATATATATATATATATATATATATATATATATATATATCGCGCGAAATTCAAAAGTATTTGGGAATCGGTTTGTAGATTTTAATTAAATAATTCATATGGAAAGATAGAATTACAGCTAGTTTTGTTCATTTATTAAAGTGTTACTTATATAAAATCGTAATATGATTTTGTTTTTAATGATTCACGAATGTGGGAAAACAAAGGCCAAGAATAGTGTGTTGCAAGGTATCTTATCATTATATCTATTGTTTAAAGATTTATTAGTACCTTTGGTAGATAATTCACAAATTCCAGCGATTGTATTTAATTTTTTTTTAAATTTAATAGTCGGGATAAAACATAAACTGAGAAATGAAAAAGGGAGGTTATTCTTTTGACAAATATAACTTGATAAAAATTTCCGTGACATACAATTCCCGATCAGCTGGTAGCGGCGACGTAAGGTGTTGTTTTATGTATTGTGACTAACATTAATGAAACTACAACTTTATTATCTTCATCAGGTGGAGGTAAGTGCTACACATGCGAGTTATAAATTATTATTGGTCTTATAATTAGACGTCTAGATCTTGCCTAGGGTTATTCGTCACCACAGCAGTTCCATACGGCTGCCCCCATAAGACTTCTTCAGACCAGAACATAGTATACGGGTATATTGACATTTATTCGAAAAGAGTTGTTGGTAAAGATTCGTTTTAATATCCCCTACGCTTTGATATTATCAAATTTGTTGCCACTAAACGAATCTCGGGAAATTTATAGTTGCAGTCAGTAATTTTGAAAATTCTAAGATGATTTTCTTCAATGGTATTTCTGGCGCAAATACGTATAAGCGAAATATATAACATTTAGTAAACATTCGTCCATTGGCTGGCCTCAGGTTTTGATACAAAAATAGGTTGGTAAATTTATAGTAGTTCACACAACTGTTAGAAAGTCAAAACTTTGCTTTTCTAGTGTGTTTTGTGTGCTTTGATTGGCTCTGACTTTGATTTCCGTCGGAAATTGCCTGTTTATTAGTTATCACCCCCTTCTACCCCCAACAAGATAGGGGATCCTGTTGGGAACCAGGGTTTTGGGTGGGGAAGAGAAACAAGCATTTTCCGACAAAAATCATGGCCAAGTGAATACAAAACACACCAAAAAAATACAAGAAAAACATATAAACCTAACCTAACGTGGTTTTGACGATATTACACTTCGGACACTTTACTGAGGTCGGGAGAACACCATGAGATCTAAAAAATGCTATTGTGTGTTCTTTTTTTTCTCAAAACGCACAATTAATTCCATATAATTTAATTGACACCCAGCACAGACTTCCATGGCCGGAAATTAATTTGAATTTCGAAGCATGAGAGACCCAAAATCACAATCGAATCTCATTGGACAAAAAATACTGCGAATTCTAAAAGCAGAAACCACAATTAATTTTAATTGGTGGCAAAAAAAAAAAACGCTTTCAATTGGCTGTGTGACGTGTACGGGAACACATGCTCATGACGATTTATGAAGGGAAGATTAATGGAATTAAATAGATAAAGATATGGCATGCGCTATCTCTGTTATTATAGGTTTCTGACGGTAATGTAATAGAAGAAAGTGATCTTAAAATTAGACGTCTTTTTTAATGTGATAATAGATTTGTGTGAACTACTATAAAAATACCAATAGGTTTTGGTAAATATTTGTCCATTAGTTGTCCTCAGGTTTTGATATAAAAATATGGGTTATTCGGTTTAACACATCATCAAATCGCATAGAAGCACTTACATTGGTAAAATTGCAGATTGCAGCAATCAAAGAATATGATAAAAAAAAATGTGTTACCTATCCTAACCTAACCTAACCTAATGTAATATAAGAAAATGATAGGAAAAATAGTTCTGTCAATTGAGTGTAGTGAATTACCGGTGTAGCGGACCAGAAGTAGACAAAACGACAACTGCGCATGTTCGATTGATGACGTCACAAACACAAACAGTGACGTGACCCAGCCTCACCCTGCGTCGGACCAGAAGTGATCAGTTGTGCTGTAGTGAAAGATAAGCTGGTATGGCGACTCTGACAGGGCAGGAAATGCAAGATGAGAATTTTAAAAAGTTTTCTGAGTACATACATGGAGTAAATAAAGTACAACCTAAAAAATAACACCCATCGGCCAGACAGTGACCATCGTCTAAAGCAGGCAGTGTTAAAGGCTGCGAGCAGTAATCGGTAAAGAATTGATGGTTAGTACTATATCACTTAGCAAATTTGAGTTTTGTATACTTATGGTCTGCTGCATTTGGATCATCAACTGCTCGCTATTGAAGAGGATGAAAGTAAAAGTAAAGTAAAAGACCAACTTGGAGCCTAATGAAAAAGCCAACTAAGCTCATTCAGACCACCATTTTTGCTTTTGCTTTCAGAAACAGGAACTCTATTTTACATAGCTCCAAATTCAGGATTATGGCAGAGAATTATCACTTCAGAAGAAGAAAAGTAGAGGATTCTTTTGAACTGCCATGCTGCACCATGTGCTGGGCACAATGGTATCAATGCCACAACTGAAAAAATTACCCGGCGGTATTACTGGAAGGGTGTAAAAGAAGAAGTCAAAGATTATGTTAGCCCTATTATCTTATTTTAATACATTTTTACTCTGCAATGGATGTTCTTATTAAATTTAAAATTATAAAAGGTTAAAATAAATAAAGAGGAATTGCAGCACTTCTTCAGAACACCCCAAATGGCAAGTGCTATTGTCATGCCACATGGACGAGCACGGACCTCAAACATTTGCAAGTATTGTATGAGTGTATTCACACTATGATATACAAAATATACAAAGAAAAAAATTGCAGTATTTGATGAAGTACATGTGAAGAATTAAATAAAAATTTGCAAAATTAGCCGAGTCAGTAAATACGTATAGTGTACATAAGATTCCCAACTTCAACTTTCGGTACGGGTAACTTCTGGTCTGCCTATATGCGGACCAGGGGATGCATACTCAAAAGCATTTACGGGCCTGTATCTGTTAGTTTACCCCGTAACTGGACTTACAATCTCTGATCGGTATGCTCAAAACAAAAATTTGGCAGCGGACTCCGTAAGTAAGCCCGTAATCGAGGCCGTAACTTACAGGACCTCTTGCATAACAAAAATTAATAATATATCTTGTAATAAAGTTTGTTAGACTTGTTTTATCATTGAATAATGAAGAAAATGTTTTGTACATTAACGTACTAAAATATGATATTACAGTTTGTCTTTTAAGTTCTTTTTTTTTTTTTACTATAAGAAGAGGCTTGAGTGTTTCTCTTTGCCGCGGAATGGAAGAGACGAAGCTTTTGTCTTCTTACAACATTTCAAGTAATTTGTACCAAAATGGAAGATTTTTATTGTCCACAATTATGGTACAAATATTTTTTATGACCAAGTAAATTTTTAGATAGACCTTATTAATGTGCCCATGACTCATAATTATATAATACCTAACCCGGTCTAAGTTCATCAAACCTAATAAAAAAGGGGGGTAAAAATTAGCATTGGCTTAGCAACTTTTTTCTTAGAAAAAGAATTATGTTCTTCGAATTTTTATCCGATTTTTTTTCGCTGCAACTCCTGGTATGCTGTTACGTAATCAACTCCGCATGTGCAGTTATTGTTTCGTCTATTTCTGGTCTGGGTAACTTCTGGTCCGCTACACCTGAATTTTGTGGCTGCTGTGTATTGTAACATTACCCTTACTTTTATGCAATTTCTACCTTATATGCACATTTCTCAACCCTTGAAGCCTCTTGGAAATGTGTTTCTTTCAGAAAAATCGCACAAGTGAGGACGCCTAAGAAATTAGACCAATAAAGGTGTTTATTGTAAGGCATTTTCGTTTTACGGAATAGCTAACTCGTTAGCTATTCGTTAGATATTCTGTATGTGCAGATGCTGCTTTTGAGCTGTGCGCATGGAACATTCAGAGGGAAGAGCTAGCACCTCGATCAGGCATTAGCCCTAATTAGCGACCAAGCGGCCCGAACAGGTAACAATCAATCAGGGACTTTCTCCCATATACACACTGTAAATATGCGGATCATGGCCGCTTGTGGAGAATATTTTGATTAATATGGAAGAGTTGTGGGCATGTAAGATAATAAAAAACTGTGATATAATAATAAAATTATTTCTATATACGGTAGTATATTGGATATGACCTAAAGCAAAGCGTATGGTGTGAAAGAACTGAAAAGAATTTCTTCTAGTTGAAACCAGTTTTGGGTCCACCCATTTTTACGTGGGCACTGTCCGATTTCATTAGTTGCTGGTGAATTTTGTGTAAAATATTGCTAGTTACTCCCTGTACTCAAATATGATTAAAACTTTAACATCATCACTCATATGATACTTTAAATAAGGGTGAACAAGTTGATTAAAGTTCTGTAAATGCAAAAATTAATACTTAAAACGAACCTGAAATTCGTCGTATTGTATGTTTATGTATGCGAACAGCTGTAAACAATATAGCAGCTAGACGAGAGCATAGGTAGTGTGGTTTAAAGCTCCGACCCTGGAGTCCGGACAGCCCACCTTTACAACAGCCCCGATTTTTTGTGTTTTTCTTATTTATTGTTGACTGATTGACTTTTTTCCTTTGTCTTTCTTTCCATAATTTTCAATATATTTTCTTCACTATTTCTGTATTGTGTCCAAATAACAGTTCTCCTAATTTTATTGTTTTTGAACGACTGTGTTGTAGAACAGTTATTCCCCAAGATGCAGAACATGTTAGCTATTCCATACTCCTTACAATGCCTTACAATAAACGCTTTAAATCTCCACCCGCCATTTCCACCCGCTGGGGTTAAGGCCCCCGCAGGAGTTAGGGCCCCCCAACAGGGGCTAGGTTAGATTAAGGTAGGTTAATTTAGTGAAAGTTAGGAGACTAGATGTTTGGTTTCTGATGTATTTGGATGTATTTTGTTCAGATCTCACCTTTGTTTTTGATGGAAAATAGCTATTTTTGATCAAGGATGACTTGCATCTTTTTTAAAAACTTATGCATTTCCCATGGAAACGAAGTTCAGATCTGAAAACACATCAAATTACATCAGAAATCAAACATCTCGTGAAAAATTCAAGGGCGTGCTAAAACGAATAATTACTCAAATATTTTTTTTTTGTGTGTGTATTATGGGGGTGTTTTACTCAGATCTGACCTTCATTTCTTGTGCAAGTTAGAGGTT